TTTTTTACAGAGAGGAAGGGAGAGGGATAGAGAGTTAGAAACATCGATGAGAGAGAAACATCAATCAGCTGCCTCCTGCACACTCCCCACTGGGGATGTGCCCGCAACCAAGGTACATGCCCTTGACCGGAATCGAACCTGGGACCCCTCAGTTCGCAGGCCGACGCTCTATCCGCTGAGCCAAACCAGTTAGGGCTAAAATATATTTTTTTTAAAAATAGAGAGAGAGAGATGGTACACAGTCCTCGGCTCCCTCCTTTCCACTGCGCAATAAATCAATGGCTAAGGCGGCCACAAGGCCCAGATGGAGAATTATAAGACCACGGAGCCTCCACTAGCCAGGGTCCCTGAGAGATGGTGTGGAGCGGAGTTTCTGCCCACGTGCAGCGACTATGGGTTACAGATAGGAAATCGACTTTTGCTGTTGAATCCAACCAGGGAGACTGTGGAGCTAATTTGTTCCCTCGGCATAGCCTCCCCTCTCCTAACTATACTGAGCCTCCTCAGCATGTGTTTCTCATGACGCCCAGGCGGTGTTCTCAGGATGGTCTGACCGATGCTTGCTCGTTCCCAGGTGGTCCCGGACGCCGCCAGCATGCCGGGCTTCCTGGTGCGCGGAGCCCGGGGGAGGCTGTGCGTGGGCCTCGCCTGCGCCCTGGGCCTGTGGAACACAGGTGGGTCTGGTCTGGGTGCTGAGCGTGGGGATTCGTTGTGCCTTAGCAGTGGTTCTCAACCTTCCTAATGCCGCGACCCTTTAATACAGTTCCTCATGTTGTGGTGGCCCCCAATTTCATTGTTACAAATTGAACATAATTAAAGCATAGTGATTAATCACAAAAACAATATGTAATTATATATGTTTTCCGATGGTCTTAGGTGACCCCTGTGAAAGGGTCGTTCGACCCCCAAAGGGGTCGTGACCCACAGGTTGAGAACCGCTGCCTTAGAGACGGGCAGCTGTCAGCATTTCAGGCCAGACCCCTCGATGCGTTTGCCCGAAGTGGCAATAATAACGTCCCCATTTCTGGTTTTGGTCCCTGACGTTTTGCAATTGGGCGCCGTTTATGCAACAGAATTCTCTTCACCGCCACTGTTACTGCTCTTGCCCAAACATCGTCTTCTCTTTCCCGGGCCTCGAAGTCAGCTCCCGGCTTCTCCTCGCGTCTCTCCAGGATCCGTTCTGCCCTCACCTGCCTGACTGATCCCCTCAGAAAGCTCATGACGTCACCTTCCAAGTTCCTCCCTCGTTCCTATCCCCTCCAAGTAGTTATCCAGCGACTGCCCACTTCTTTTTGGAGGGGACCTCACGTCTTTACCTGATGGGACCTGACCCTGCCCCCCACTCCTGGGCCACTTCCTGCAACCCCCCACCTCCTTCCTCATTCCCTGAGTCCCAGCACTGCTGGCTTCTTTCGCTTCTTTAAAGTCACGCTCACGTCCATCTCGGACGCTGGGCACTGCTAGCTGTACACCGGACGGCCCCTCCGCCAGTTAACCCACTGACACCCTCTCCCGCCTCAGGTCTCCGCTGGGTGTCACCTCCCAGGGAACCCTTTCAGATCACTGAGATTGCATCAGGCTCCAACATAAGCCCCCAGGTGCCCTTCGAAGTACCTAACGTTGTTCATAATAATATCCCGAGCCTGCATTTTCTGGCTGTCTGCCTTCCCAGCTAGAATAAGTTCCATAGGACGGAGTCTGTATCCATTTATTGTCATATCGCCTTGGCAGCTCACGCACACAAGGCCTATGCAAGTCCAGGTGCTGAGTAGCGTCATCCATCCTTCGGACCATCCCAGCCGGTCGGTCCATATTTGATGACTAAGTGACTGAACGAACAAGCTACGTGTGGGATTGTCAGCCAGCTGCTTCACCGTGCCACACCATCATGTCCTCGTCTTTCACATGAGTATTTTGGGTTCATTCTCTCTGAGGTCATGTCTGGGTTATAATTTTCCTGATGAAAACTCTTTTTGTTTTAGTGGCTGCTATTAAAGGAGAAGCCAAGAAGGAAAAGGTCACAACCTTCCTACCGACAACAGGTAAATGGGCAGGTGCTTCTCCCAGCTCACTCTGTCTTGGGCAAATTCCTTGGCTTCTCGGAGCCTCAGTTTCTCCATCTGTAAAATGGGGATTGTGTCTATAGCTCAAGCTCTAACAGTCGTAGGTACAGTTTCTATGAGTTGCTCATTGCTTTACGGTTCAGGGAACTCCTGGATTCTCCTGATCTTATTAAACCCACAAAGATCTTGATATTCTATGAGCGATGAAAGATTTCACAATGGGAGGTATTGTAATATGCCGCCATCATCGCCTTTGAAATAAGTCCATCTTTCTTTGCAGTTTTTTTTTTTCTTTTTTCTTTTTTGGCATCTGGGCAAGATGGTGAGTGCATTCCAACATCAGGCACACTTCCGGGTCAGGGGCTGGGTTTCTGTTTCTCGCCTTTTGCTAAATGCACGGGGTAAATGTTTTGTATGCTTTTGCTTTGGGGGAGTGAGATGGGCATTACTCTTTCTTTTTAAAATTTCACTTACTTTTAATTAGCACATTCATATGAGTCAGAATGCAAATGGTACAAAGTGTGTAAAGTTGAAATGCTCTCCCAGCCCACCAGAGGACACTGTTTATAATGATTTCTTGTGTTAATTTTCTTTTCTTTTCTTTTTTTTTTTAAAAAAATGTTTATTGTTGACAGTATTACAGCTGTCTCCCATTTTCTCCCTTTTTGCCCCCCTCCACCCAGCCCAGCCCCACCCCAGGCCTTCCCCATGCTATTGTCTGTGTCCAGGGGTTATGCATATAGTATAAACTAGAGGCCTGATGCACGAAAATTCATGCAAGAGTAGGCCTTCCTTCCCCCGGCTACGGGCACTGGCTTCCCTCCAGCACTGGTGACCCAGGCTGCTTCGCTCCGGCCACTGGCCAGCACCCCGGACCCAGGGGGCTTTGCTCCAGCCCTGGCTTTGTTGGGAAGGACATCTGGTCTAATTAGCATATTACCCTTTTATTATTATAGATGTTCTTTGGTTAATCTCTTCCTGTCCCCTCTCCCAAGTTCCTGCCACTGAGATTTGTTACTGTTTCATGCATCCATACCTCTGGATAGATTCTGTTCGTTGGTTTATTTTGTTCCTTAGATGCCAGTTATAAGTGAGATCATGTGATACTGGTCTTTCTCTGACTGGCTTATTTCGCTTAGCATGATAGCCTCCAGGTCCCTCCATGATGCCCCAGAGGGTAAGAGAGCCTTCTTTTCTACAGCTAAGCAGATAATTTCCAATAAGCATGTCCTCCTCTTTAAATGGTAACAACAATTCTGCTGTCCAATTAATAAAAGAATAAAAGGCAATAAAAATACTAAGGGTGAATAAGTATGGAAAGTGCCAATGCCTTCTATTTTAAAGTTACTAGAATGGTGGCCTTTTGGTGTAAAGAGAGAGCACTAGTTGTCGATGGTCTGTCTAAAAAATGTACTTGAAAAATGCTGTGGTAGAGCATCTTATTCAGAAACCCCTGCTTTAGGCAGTTCAAGTCACACTTCAAATATTGTTATCAAAACCCACCCACGGGTTTGTCATTGTAAAAAGGGGGTGGTGGAAATAATTTCTTTCTGGGAAAGCAGTGGTGTTTGAGTAAAGTTCTTGGTCCCAGCCGGCGTGGCTCAGTGACTGAGCGCTGACCTATGAACCAGGAGGTCAGGGCACATGCTCAGGTTGTGGGCTCGATCCCCAGTGTGGGGCGTGCAGGAGGCAACCAATCAATGATTCCCTCTCATCATTGATGTTTCTATCTCTCTCTCCCTCTCTAAAATCAATAAAAATATTTAAAAAATAAAATAGTCAAACGCACAGAAGCAGGAGGGAGAAAGGTAATTGCCAGGGGCTGGGGCTGGGGGAGGGGAAGCAGGGCCATCAGCCAGGCGTGGGCATTAGGAACATCGCTCTCCTTTTTCCCGGGCCTCGTAGTCCTTACCCTTCCAGGGAGCGTTGGGCAAGATGCTCGTAAGGATGTCATCAATTGTGTGAGGCTGTGCTCCCGTGATGCCATTTGAGTCCTGAAAACTTGCATTGCAGGGTCTGGCAATGAGGAAGCCGAGAAGGAAAAAGCCGGGGCTTTCCTTGGTGCGACAGGTAACGAGGCCTTTAGTCCCGGCTGTGACACTGTAACCCAGGAGCACCCGTCTCGGCTTCTCCGGGCCTCGGTCTTTCCATCTGTGGAATGGGCACAAGGCACTTTCTCCACCGGAAGGCCACATGGAAAGTAGTCATTGCAACTAGAATAGTAACAAGTGCTGTGTGATTAAATGGCATCTCATCCACAGCAACGGATCTTTCACATCTCAGCTTTACGTCACTTCCACGGTCGGGGGGCCTTCTCCATTCCCTAGACCAGGTTGGGTGCTCACGGCACCGCATCGTTCCCTGTTTGATGCTCCTCACGTGCCATACACGTGACTCTCCCTCCTCCCCGCTGAGCCACAGACAGTAAAAGCCACCGACGGGGAGCTGGAGACCTGGTCCTTTTCCTTGACCCATTAACCCCACACCTCGCACACTGCTTGGCCCTGGGGGAGTGTTTGTTGAATGAACGAAGAATGGCTGAATGCCTCCGCTTTTCAGAATTCCCTTTGACACGCCCTTCCTAGATGCCACCAACTGCCGTGCGGGCAAGTGGCCTAATATTTTGAAGGCCCGGCTCTCAGCTCTAGGAAGTAGGTCCTGACCCCTTCCTCAGGGGCTCAGATGTGCAAGTTTAGGCAAGTTTCTCTCCCTCTCTGAGCCTCGGGTTCCTACCTGAGTAAAGGGCGAGGCAGACAAGTCCCCGGCATCTGAATCGCCTGCCTGTTCTTTAGAAGGTGCACGTCAAGGCCACACGTGGCCCCAGGAGACCAGAATCTCCAGCGGCGACTTGGAATCGGCCTTTTCACATGGTCCCCAGTGACTGTCATGGCCACCGGCCGGAGGACCGCGCAGTGCAGGCCTCGCAGGCTCCTCCAGCGCGTGGGGCTGGGGTGGGAGAGGAGGCGCCTGAAGGTGAGCCACGAGGACCCCTTCTCTTCCAGAGCTGCCTGCGAGGGCGGTGGACCTGTCCGCCCTGAACCTGACGGAGGTGGTGAACGGCATGCTGAGCAGAGCTTTAAAAGGTCAGCTTTTCTTGCCCAACCAGCGTGGCTCGGTGGTTGAGCTTCGACCTATGAACCAGGAGGTCACGGTTTGATTCCTGGTCGGGGCACATGGCCGGGTTGCGGGCTTGATCCCCAGCAGGGGGTGCGCAGGGGGCAGCTGATCAATGATTCTCATCATTGATGTTTCCATCTCTCTCCTTCTCCCTTCCTCTCTGAAATCAATAAAAATATATTTAACAACAACAAAGGTAAGCTTTGCTTAAAAGCACCATCCAGGCCCACCTCGGCCTTGGGCCAGTTTCTCCGCTGGACTCTGTGACCTGGGGCCCACGCGTGAGCCAGCTCCCCTTGCTCAGAGTGAGGGGGTGTGGTCCTTGCTAACTCGGGCGGGAGGGAAACCCCCGTGCAGGAGGGCTGCCAGCACTGTGAGAGCTGGCCTGTCCCACACGCCAGGTGCCCATTTCCGGTCATGACTGCCTTCAGAGAGAACTGTCCTAGATCCAGGGCCGTTCATTCAACAGTTCTTTACGGAGCACAGAAAATGCAGCCAAGTGACGTGTATTTTTGCATTTTTAAATTTGCTTTTATTTTATTTTTAAGTCACTTTATTAGGTGTTCGCTGTGTTATTAATCTCTGAGATCGGTTTGCGAATGTATGTTGTTATTGACTTTTGTCAGTAGGCGTGTGTCTGTTTCTTTATCTCGGTGTCGTTGGCAGATCGCAAGAAATTCTTCTCCTTGCTCAGCATCACGTCCTACAGCTCCTTCGCCTTCCACAAGCTCTCGGTGGCCGTTTACAACAGTGAGTGCCCTGTGGTGGCCATCACGGTGGGCGGTGCACCCGCAGGGACAGGCGGCGTCAGGACCCTGTGCGGACTGTTTCTCTTCACAGTTTCTAACCTGAAGACGGTGGACCAGGCCAGGTTCCCCACGCGGTACTGCTACTGCTTAAGCAATCGGACCAATGACCTGTCAGGTGGGCGGGACTACCTACTACTTAACCAATCGGACCAATAACCTCTCAAGTGGGCGGGACTACCTACTGCTTATCGGACCAATGACCTGTCAGGTGGGAAATTGTGGGGTGAGACAGGAAGGGTGTTGCAGATCATGTAGAAGTTTGTAGGATAACGGGGGCAAACAAGTCAGCAAAACCATTACTCAACAATGTGGCCTTGCACAGCTCTTTGGGGTTGGCAGACAAGGATTTGGGGGAAGAGGGCAATGGAGGAGAAAGAGGGTTTATCACGGCGGGTCCAAAAAGTGTTCTGGCTGCCGGAAATTAAGACTTTTTAAAATAACGAGTGGCATTTATATGATTGTTAATATTCCTCAAATCACTGAACTGAATCAAACTTGTAAAATTGACTCTGAAATATCCAAATACAATGTAGTTTCCCCTTCAAATCTCAGAAACTGAAAGCTCCACAATCTGTCTTGCAGATTTCACAGCCCTGCTGGTGGACATCATTGGGAATTCCACCAGCTACCTCACCGAGATTTTCAAGTCGACCTCTATCCTCTCAGGTGTGTTTATCTTGAAAACGCTTGGCAAATTTGAGATTTGGCCATGGAGTATAATCAAACCCAGCGGACCACCCCCATCCCTGCCCCAGCCCCCGCCACAGGCCAGGCTCCAGGAATGTTAGCGTAAGTTTAATTTAGACAATCGGTGTAACTCGTTTCAACCACCAGCACCTGCAGGTTCCATCTTCCTGTCAGAGCTATTCCTGGTTCAGAACATTGGAGGACGAATCCAATGCTCAACGTTGGGGGAAATCTAGGCAGATTCAAGGAAACAGTTTCTGTTGGACAGCTATGCTCCCATTTTAAAGATTAGAAAACTGAGGTTCAGAGAGGTTGAATATTTTGCTCAAGGTTATTCAGAATTCAGACTGAGATCTATGTGGAGCCAAAGCCCATGTCTACCGTACAGCTGAGAAAGACATGCCTCATTTATAAGGTGGCATCACATAACCTCCAGGCAATTCCCCTGGGGACCCACTTTGCAAAGCACAGAGTTAGTTAGCAGCCCAACACTTGGGCTCATTAGAAGGATGGTTTGCTGCACTCTGGAGAAACTGCTGTTTTAGAAGAAGGGAGACCGGGAGAGAGAGATAATGATAGATGTCATTAGGTACATGTACCAGGGAGTCTTCTAAAGGCTTACCGTGTATTCCCTCATTGTAACGAGGACGGCACCCTATACAGCTACAACATTTATCACCACTTTACACGTGAAACTGTGGCACAGAGAGGCTAAGTGACCTGCCCAAGACCATTCTGCAGAGAGAGAATTCTAGACCCAGGTGATCTAGGCCTGACGCTCATGCCCTTGGTCACTATGCTAATTCATATGATGATAGTATCACATTAGCGGCAACAATAATAAGTATTATAACTCTTTATGGAGCTTTTCTATCTGTCAGGCATCATATTTAGAGCTTCACGCACATCTCATGGTGTCATCAACACCACCTTTCTAGGGCCATGCGACCACCTGCCCGCAGTCCCAGGGACCAGGATGTTTAGGGACTCAGAAGCTTTCGGACTTGTAAGGGTCTAATAGGGTGTCTGCATTGTCCATGACCCAACCTCTAGCAGCATGAGGGCGGCCTTCTGTCATCAAAGACGCCCTATTCGATTAGCAGAGGGTGACCCTGACCACCATGTGTGAGAGAAAAGACGACAAAGAACCTCACATCTGTCAAGTCAGGTTTGGCCACCAAATGAGTTTGGTACCAAAATGATACAAAACCTCCCATCGTACAGAGATTTGGGGATTTGCAAATTGCAAATAAGGGACTGTGGGATGAGAATGTTCACCATTTTAAAGGTGGGTAAACTGAGTCCTAGAGAGGTCAAGCAATTCGCCCTTGCTCAGGTAGCTAGGAAGTGGCAGGCTGATGTACCCGGGGGAGCTGACCCCAGAGGCCCTGCCCTTAGCCATTTCATTATCCGGCATCCCACCCCCACAGCCCCCCAGAAAAGCAGGGCTGCCTTCAGAGTGAAGACACAGCCTCACTTCCCACAGCACCTGTGCTGGGCATTTGGAGCTTCATTTCATTTTGACCGAAGACGCTGCAACTCCAGAGCCGTTGCTCAGTCTCATGTGCTGCTCGTTGTCTTGCAGTGAGTCAGACGAATGCCTCCGACTGCATCTTCATCTGTGTGATGACGGGGAAGGCAGGTGAGCCCAGCCAGTCCTGGGAAAGTTCTCTGAGCTGAGACATAGACGCAGCCGCCAGCAGGCGGCCCAGATGGAACCTGTCGGTGGGGTCTTTGCAGGACGGAACCTCTCTGACTTCTGGGAGTTGGCGGAGAAATCTCCGGTCATCAATTACACCTTCACCAGCAGCCTGGCCGCGGCTCCGGGTGAGTGGAAACCGCTCAGACCTCAGCTCTAGAGTCTCCAGGCCAGGCTCCCTCCTGGCAAACGGAAAATAGAAGACAGAGCGCTGCCTGCAGGGTTTTATTTAGCTATCCTGGTTAAAAAGGAGGATGTTGCCATTTTAATTTTTGCAAATATCTGAATCCTCAATCCTGGATCCTCCCCCTCACTCGTTCCACAAGCAACTGATGTTGAGTAGCTGCCGCCCTCATCCCCTCAACACCCCCATAGGAGGGCCACCTTCCTCCTGTTTGCCAGGGAGCCTCTCTGGGCTTCTGACAGCTTCGCCTTCTGTTCACTGTGCTTCTGCGCATGGCTTTCTCAGAGGCTGATGTTTTAGATTAGTTTGTCATTCAAGGAGAACCCGTCTTTTTGGTGACATGCGGTGCTGGTCTGAGTCAGGTTTGAGTCTCTGCATCCTAAATATGTGCTGTGCGATGATGACCTTCCAGTGATGCAACAGTTCTTTACGTCCAAAGTGACAAAAATGTTACAGCTGCCAGGGGGACAGCTGTGGCTTCCAAGCTCACACCCACGAGCCAGCAAACACCGCCGAGGACAAGCCCTCCACGCCCAGCCCGGAGCACCGGCGTGTCTGCTCTGGGAGCCTCTCCCTGGACCGAGGTGCCTGATCCTTTAGAGGGAGAGCAGGCGGTGAACACAGACAGGCTTCCTGAACTCCTCGCCACGGCCACGGCCACGGCCACGCCGGGCAGCGTCTCTCCCACCCTCCCAGGCTCGGGTAAGATTTCTCACCCTTTCCTCTCCTGCCCTGTTCCACCCTCCAGTAAATATAGTACAGAGGGCTTCTAGGACCCTTCACCCAGCATCCCCCAAGGAGAATCTCTTACAGACTTGAAATATATTGTAGCAAAAAGGTATTTTTATTTCAGCAAAGCATTTATCAACGTCTCTCCTGAGATTCACACAAAACGGTGAAATGCACTCAGCACTGTATGGCAGGGGTAGGTTAACTCGCAGCTGGCTGGATAATGATGCCAAGAATATGTTAATGACGATGCCGGCGTGAAAAGCTACCGCTGATGGTGGGCCAAGAGCGTCCTCCTTCCCCACCATCTCTGTGGACACATCTGTGGTATTTGCGCTGAAGACGCAAAAGGCGTGCTTATCCTATTTGGAAATAAGATACAACTGGGATGACTCTTTCAGTCAATGAGATCCAGCAATGGACCGGTCATTTACTCATCCATCCATCCACCCGTCCGTCCGTCCATCCATCCAACCATCCACCCATCCATCCATCCATCCATCCACCCGTCCATCCATCCATCCAGATGTAGTTTATACCAGACACCAGGCTGGCTGCTAACAACACAGCTCTGTCAACGTTTCCTTTCTTCCTGAGCTCACAGACCAGGGATAGAGACACAGGCAAGTAAACTGATAGCTGTGATCCAGACTCCAAAGGGTTCTTGTCCCGGAGGCCCAGAGAGGGGCTCCCCACGGAGGTAAGGACTGATAAGTCGGGCAGCGGGCCTAGAAGAACACATAGGCAGTAACATCTCGGACATTCCTTAGAGCAATATTTTTTTCTGATATATAACCTAGGGCACAGGAAACAAAAGAAAAAACAAACAAATGGGGCTACATCAAACTAAAACGTTTTGCACAGCAAAGGAAGCCATCAGCAAAATGAAAAGACAACCCACTGAATGGGAGAACATATTCGCCGCTACATCTGATAAGGGGTTAATATCCAAAATGTATAAATAGCTTATAAAACACACCACCAGGAAAAACCCCAAAGAATCCAATTTAAAAATGGCCAAGGGACCTGAATAGACACTTCTCTAAAGAGGACATACAAATGGCCAGTAGATATATGAAAAAATGCTCCATGTCGCCGATCAGCAGAGAAATGCAAATTAAAATCACAATGAGATATCACCTCATGGCTGTCAGAATGACTGTCATCAATAAATCTACAAACAGCAGGTGTTGGTGAGGCTGTGGAGAAAAGGAACCCTCGTGCACTGCTGGTGGGCATGCAGACTGGTGCAGCCACTGTGGAAAGCAGTATGGAGTTTCCTCCAAAAATTAAAAATGGAACTGCTGTTTGACCCAGGATCCCCCTTCTGGGAATATGTCCTAAGAAACCCAAAACACTAATTCAAAAAATATATGCACCCCTATGTTCATTGCAGCGTTATTTACCACAGCTGCGATCGGGAAGCAGCCCGGTGCCCACCAGTGGATGGTGGGTAAAAGGCGGTGGCGCATGGACACAAGGGCATGCTGCCAGGCTGTGGAGGGGAGGGCATCTTGCCTTTTGCGGAAGTGGATGGGCCTGGAGAGTGTGGTGCTGCTGGCAGTGGGCCGGTCAGAGGGGACGGGGCCATGTGGTATCACTTATATGTGGAATCTAATGAATAGAATAAACTAACAAACAAAATAGGAACAGACTCACAGCTGTCAGGGGGGAGGTTAGGTGAGAAAGGTGAAGGGATTAAGGAAAAAAACAACCACCTCATAGACAGACAACAGTGTGGTGGTTACCAGAGGGAAAGGAGGTTGAGGCAGAGGCGAGGGCAAGGGGGGATAAATGGTGATGGAAAGAGACATGACTTGGGGTGGTGAACACACAATACAATGTACAGATGATGGCTTATAGAATTATACACCTGAAACCGATATAATTTTATTAACCAATGTACTACTGTCGTGAGAGGTGGCTACAGGGGCCGGACTAATAAGGTGGCAAGTACAATAGGGTCTTGAATGGGATGAAAAGAGTCGGGCAGCAGGAAAACAAGGATAGGGAAAAGGAATCAGCTTATTAACTAGTAAAGTCCTCAGTCCACTAGCCGGCATCATGAGACACAAAACTAGGACGCTTTACGGTGTAACAGGGACGTGATTGCTAGTGGCCAGAGGAAGGATAAAAGTCCTCGCTGGATTCCGCACAGAAGTGCTGGCTTTATGTACACAAAACTACACAGCTTTCATAAACTTTTTTTTAAAAGCATCTTTAAGTCAATGAAGCAACATACCGTTTTCTGGATAAGAAATCTGAATATTTTGAAGATGGCAACTGTTCTCAACTTAGAGGTTTAAAATCCTCAAGGGATTTGTTTTGTAAAACTTGAAAAAAATGAATTTTAATCCCTACCATGGGAATGGACAAGCGCAAATCACTAGCGGTTACTTACAAGACCAGCCAGGGAAGGTGTGTCTTCATCACCATCCTCTGATGCTATAGGGTGTCGTTATGATCTCCATTTCATGACAAAACTAAATAGCATTCAGTAACTTGCCCCAAATTTTACAGCACGGGGGGCCCTCTGGGTCCCCTCATCTGAGCCCCATCACCTTTCCACTATGACACCTGGTTGGAAATAATGGCGAGATTGCTGGGGCATCCGAAGGGCTTGGAGATGTTTCTATATTGATAGTTAGGAAATGAACATTTAGTTTGTCCACGTATTCCAGTTCTTGGTCGCGTTTGAGTCCCTAGATTATCTAGAATTACGCAGGCACCGTGCACTTACCCTGCGATTACATTTCCATGTCTTAGCAATTTTATATCCAAATCAAAGTGGTCAAGCATGTAAATGGCCTGTTACTGTCACTTGTGCAGCTACCAGGAGGGCGGCCGGAGCTCCATGGGTGACAGACGGCAGGCAGGCCTGGGCGTCCACACTGCCCGTGCCCCGGGCTCCGACCACCAGCAAGGAAGCGCCTGGAGGGCCTCCCTGGGAAGCGCTTTCCTCCGCAGCGACATCGCCCACAAAGGCCAAGGACACGGGGACCACGGGGAGCCTTTCGGAGCCTCCTGCTGGGACACACGGCAGCCCTTCCCAGACCAGCCCAACCTCGGGTAAGAGAGATGTTCTCCCCCAAGCCCCCCGCTTTAAAAAAAAAAAATTAAAAAATATATATATATAGTTGATTTCAGAGAGGAAGGGAGAGGAAGAGAGAGATAATGATGATCAAATAAGGGACCCATTATGAGTCTACATCAATGATGAGAGAGACTCATGGATCAGCTGCCTCCTGCACACCTCACACTGGGGATGGAGCCCTCAACCCGGGCATGTGCCCTGACTGGGAATCGAACTGTAACCTCCTGGTTCATAGGTCGATGCTCAACCCCTGAGCCATGCCAGCCGGGCTATTTTTTACTAATCGCTGCATCCTCAACGCCCTGCCTGGTCCCTGGCTGGAAAACCAACATGGGCTGCCTAGGACAGGACTGGTGGCCCGGGGCCCCTGAGAAGTGCAGGCTCACCTGTCTCCCATCTCACCCCAGGGACACTCACCCCGGGCACACAGACTTCCAGTCCCACCAAGGCCCCGGCCCCCCGGTATCCACACACAGGTAAGACGTGCGTGCGCTGGGAAGGGGGCCCCAAACCACAGGAAGGAAACCGCTTCGGGGCATGGCCCGGTGGGCCGGGGTGTCAGGAGGCGGACAGCGCCGGCTGTTGTACTTCATTGGCTCCGCAGGAGAACAGGCGGGAGGGCTACGCCTCGCTGTGCTGCTAACTTGCCCCGTGAGCCTGGGCAGATCGCCTCCGCCTTCTGGGTCACAGTTTCCCCATCGATTTCGAGAACTCTTTATCCTTCAGGTGCTGTGATTCTCTGCTTGTGAGGTTAACCCAAGGCCACTTCGTTTGGAATTTTGAGGCCATACTCGCTCCTTGCAGGTGACCTTCTGCGGCCATTGCCCCCTGCAGAGGAGCCAGCCCTGGTCCCGGGACCCCACCACGTTCATGTCTCAAGTACGTCCCAGCACTTGTCACTCCTGTCGCTCTTGTTGGTTTGGGGCGAGGTCGTGCAGCACCGTAAAAAGAGGTGTGTGTGAGCGATCTGGAGTCAGACTCTGGGACCCGCACCCCAGCTCTCCCAGTTCCCGGTGAGGCGGCCCCAGAACCCCGTGCCTACGGCCATATCGCGGGAATAACAACCATCACTCGGGCCCTGGAGACGTCCTGTTCCCCCAGGGCTTTGTCTGAAGGGAGACAATGTGTGTGGAAGCGGCTTGGAACCGGGGCTCCGTGTGATTTAATCCAGCCGATTGTTGTTGAGTGAGCGCCCGGTGAGAACGCGCCGTGCCCTTGGCGAGTGGACGCTGTCCTAACGGGTGCGATGTTAGAAGGGAAGGAGGACAGAATGACTCCGAAATTCAACCCCCACGTTCTGGGTGCACTTGGCCTTTCTTCTGTTTTCAAGGACGCCCCGCCTTCCCCAGCCCTGCGCACTTCATTCGTGTGAAATCCAGACGAGGACAGCCTCCCGGGCTGGGCTGGTGGTCAGAGGCCGGGGCCCGGTTTCTGTGGTTTGTGCTGTGCTTTGGGGTGACCCTCCTCCTTCCTGTGGAGCCGGTTTCCATGAGGGAGAAATGGATCCGAAGGGAGTCCTTCAGAGCTGACTGAGCCTCAGGCCCTCCCTTCCCGGAGGCCTTTCCAGACTGGCCTCCTGATGTCCCCGGCGTGTGTCAGCGAGGCTTTATTAAACGCTGGCGCCTGCCCAGCCTCTGTTCCTATCGCCCCGATGGCCTGAACCCCGCCCTCAGCCTGCCGTGAATGGGCCCCTCACACACAGAGACAGGATTGTGCTGCCGCAGGGAATGGCAGCCCCCCTCCCGGGATCCACAGAAACTCGCCAGCGGTGCAGACGGGGCAGTGGGCAGATGGACCTCGAGAAAACAAGTTGGCTGTGTCTGGATCTTCGCTGTTATGGGCCCTGGAGTCGGCTCCGACTCCCGGAGACCCCGTGAATGAGCAACGGCCGCATGTCCTGTCCTCCCAGCATGCTCAGCTCCTGCAGACTCCTGCCCGTGGCCTCTCTCATGGTGTCAGTCCAGCTCCTAGTTCGTCTTCCTCTTTTCCTGCTGCCTTCGATTTTCCCAGCATGATCATCTTTTGCAAATAACCCTGTCTTCTAGGTCTACCTGTATCTATAGCTATCGCTTTATTTGATCTATACCTACATATCTATGTGTACTTATATAGCTCTATCATCTATCTATGAGAAATCCTATATAATAAAAGGCTAATATGCAAATTGTCCCCTCAGGAGTTCAACCAGGAGACTGGGAGTTCGATCGCTCACTATGACGTGCGCTGACCACCAGGGGGCAGCGTGGAACATGGCGGGTGACCAGCAGCAGCAGGGTGCTGAGGGAGCGAGAGAAGGAGAAGGCAGGGAGGCCACGAGGCAGGGAACCTGATCAGCCCTGATCGCCGGCCAGGCCTAGGGACCCTACCCGTGCATGAATTTCGTGCACCGGGCCTCTAGTCTAAGTGTAAAATAACAGGGTTCTGGCATCTTCCAGTATGTGATTCTGCCCATTCACAAAGTATGCCACCAACTTTCTGACATCCACTCATTCTTCCACTGGCTAAGTATGTATTGAGTTCCTCCTGTGTGCCAGGCACCGGGTCATGCCTATTCTCACTTTCTCTCTGCAGTGATTCTGCAGGGCAGGTCATGTTATCTTCAACCACTTTTAGTGAGTCCTTCCTAGTAAAGAGTGACTCTGCTTTGAGCCCAGGTCTACCTCATTCCCCAGCCCGTTCAGTGTCTCAGATCCCTGTGGGACATTTACTCCTCAGTAGAACCCTGTCTGGTTCCCTTTAGGAACTGGATCCCACTTGTCCTCCTCCGACCTCTCAGACCTGGCGCAGAGCTTTACAGGGCAGCGGTGAAGGACGCCAGGCTTCCCCGTCTGTCTCAGAGCCGCCTGAGGTCAGGGCAGGACCACAGCCACTGAGCACAGAATCTAACAAAGAGAGATCCTGTGCATACATACACTTTTGTTGACTCGACTGGTCTGGGATTGTGTCTTCCAGGGTGTCCTCAGCAGCTCCTCAGAGAAGGGCCCCTGACAGCCGGGCCCCTCCCCGGGGCCGCCCACAAGCTCACCCCCTGCCTGATGGAGCTGTGCCGGTTTTTCCAGCAGTGCCTCTGCGCAAGCCCGAGGAGGGACCCCAGGACGGAGGCCATGAGGTAACCTGGGCCAGAGGCCGCTGGTCCAGCATTTATGCGCGTCCTACTCTGCACAGCTTCTCTGCAGGCACGGACTGCAGATGGGCGACAGGGGCGCCTCAAGGAACGGACTCCCCAGTGAGTTCTTTGCTAGATTGTCACCTTCTCAAGAGCCAGGATGGAACCTTATCCATTTCTGGTCCCCAGAGCCAGGTGCAGAGCCTGACATAATAAGTACAGTTGAGCCGAGTCTAATCGAGTGGAGTCGAGTTGACTTGAACTGTGTCCTACCTGGTGGAATGGTCTCAGAGGACTGTGAGTGGTCCTTAAACCCAAATGCCTCCGCCTGGTGAGATTCGCTAGATGATAATAATCAGAGGACAGGTCTGTTAATAATCTAAATGACAGGTCTTCAGAAACCCCTCGCTGTCATTTGCAGGCCAAATGAGAAGGTTGAACCAAGAAAATTAGAAGGCAGACTCCGTTTTCTATTGAGAAGGAGTAGGTGTGGGCACCTTCCCGCCCGGGGATGCTGACATACTGTTCTGTCTTCTGGAATTTATTCTTGGCTGGAAACCCAGAGCCAAACAACGTAGATAACCAGCTCTGCTCCCCGGTCTGAGGTCAGCCTCCCAGACCTTTAATGTGACTTTCAAAGTCTACTCGTTCTATCCTTCAGCTCGTCCAGGCTCCATGATCCACCGGCTCTGAGCCTCAAGGTCAGGGTTGCAGCCTTTTCCCATCACCCCTTTCTGGCCCTGGTCTTGAGTCCCTTCATGAGTGTGGCTGTTTCCCACACCCAGAGAGGGTGATGAGCAAGACGCACAGGCCCACAGGTGCTGGCCACACGGTGGAGGCATTCCCTCCATGGCGAAGGCAGCGGCGTTCTTGCCGGCACTGCCAGGCTGTGGTGAGAGCGAGTGGAGCTGAAACGGAAGCGGACATTGAATGGTCCCGCACAGGGCCCGGCCGCTGCACGGTGGCTGCTGGCTGCTGGAGATACCCTTGCGGTTGGCGGTGCCTCCTTCTCTCCTCCACTCTCATGCCACGTTGGAACCTCAGCTCTAGCCTCCTTGGTACGTTGTAGCCGTGGCACCAAGTACCCAGTGGCCGTGTCAGCTGTGGACCAAGCTGGACACGTCAAGGTTGTTGACCGAGGTTTGGAGATGTCACCGTGAGAGTATGAGTCACACGCTCACAGCCAAGTACCCCTGGCAGTGGTCATCATTCCACGCGGCCCTCAGATCCACGCTGCTCTTTCTCTGCCATGTGTGTGTGTGTTGGGGGCGGGGGGACAGCCGGGGGAGGCCGAGTGGTACATTTCCCATCTCCCAGAATGCCTTTCCAGCCGTCTCCTGTAAGTTCATTCAATGGGAGATACTGGCAGGAGATTGGGGGACAGTAGAATGGAGAAGCCAAGGATTAGAGAGAAATACAGATGTGAGAGAGATACAGTGATTGGTTGCTTCCTGCATGTGCTCTGACAAGGGCTGGGGATCAGACCTGCAACCCAGTTACATGCCCTTGACTGAGAATGGAACCCATGACCCTTTGGTGCAGGCCAACGCTCTAACCACTGAGCACACTGGCCTGGGCCATTATGACTTTTTAAAATCCTGGTTGTCTCCTAACAGCCACAAAAGATAGCGATTGCTCTCAGCTCTGACTTAAACTTTCAGGTACTGTCTTGAGTTCTATTCCTGGTTTCTGAAGAACGCAACCCACATCTGCCAGGAGGCGAAGAGGGTGCCCCACTCGCGCAGTGAGTACACGGCCGGGCTGTGCTGTGACGGCGATAAAGGCTTCTGGGACAGGGTCTGGCGCTCTGAGTGCGTTTCCTGCCTCCGCAGGGGCGCGGGAACTCACCTGGTCATTGCTATTCCAGACAAGGAGTCTAGGGCAAGCATGTCAAACGCTAACACAGGCCAAATACACGAGGCAGGCGGCCCCCGGGTGCGAGTCTGACATGCTTGGTCTAGGTGTTCCTGATTCCTCTGCACCTAACAGTTTGATATTTGCAGTAGGTGTTAAAAAAGAAAAAAGCTGGAGTCAGGCAGGCTGAGCGCTGCTGCTTTCTGTGTGTGACTTTATTCCTCCCGGGTCCCATGAAGCTAAAAATACAAAGCAAAATATCAGACAGAAGACACCCCCCAGGAATACCCACATTCCCGACCCAAGCAAAGGTATACAAGTAATTCAAGCAAAAGAGGGCACCCCAAGCTGCTGGAAGTGGGGTGTTTGGTCCCTCTCTCCTCCTCCCGATGGCAACGAAGCCCCGTTCGCTCTCAGGGTGCCAGGCATTGGCTTTGTCTTGTCTCCCGCTCCTGCCGACAGAAGTGCCGATCTCGCCTGCCTGGTGCTACAGCCAGTGCCTGGCTGTTCCCTTGTGCCCTCTAACAGCACCGTCTGGTCAGGGGACTCTGGTTTTCCAAAAACCACAGAATTCTATGGAACCCTGTGAAAACGCCTTCCTCATGAAACCCAGTGTAAACATGGTCCCGTCTTGGCAATGTTTTCCATTAGAAAACAAAAAATGTTTAGCCACCCAATCCTTCCTTGTGGCTCTTAAGGGACATCCAATGAATACCATGACGACACTTCTTAGACACTCTTCTTATTCGTTTGCCCCCGTCTTCTCTCCCTTCTACCAGCTGCCATCTCAAAGCCTCATCCATGCTTTATTGTCCACCTACCACTCAGCAGCCCCCTAAAACCACGCTTCCTGGCTCCCCTGTGTCCAGGTGCCTCCTCTGTTTATTTTCATTTCCTTTTGCCTTAATGCTTTCTTCCTTCTCAACACATTCCCTTATTTCTTCTGCAAATCCATCTCCCCACTTCCTCTCTCTCTCTCTCTCTCTCTCTCTCTCTCTCTCTTTCTCCCCCCCCCCCTCCCCCCTTGTTAATCCTCACCTGAGGATATTTTTCCCTTTGATTTTTTAGAGAGAGTGGAAAGGAGGGAGGGTGGTGGAGGGAAAGAGAGAGAAACATTGATGTGAGAGAGACATATCGATTGGTTGCCTCCCTCGTGCACCCCAACCAGGGCTGAGGATTGAACCCTCAACCCTTCAGTGTGTGGGCCGACACTCTAACCACTGAGCAACACAGCCAGGGCTGTCTTCTCTTTCTATCATCGCCTTTTCTCTGCAGCACAAAACCCAAGCCTGGGAGTGGCACGTGGGGGCTCAGCAGTCAAAGGAGAAATCCCTTTCCCTGGCGCAGGTAGAACTGGGAAATCTTGCCAACTACTGATAATTGAACCAGTGTCCCGGTGCACGGATTCGTGCACATTGAAAGGCAATTAATTAGAAGAAATATTTTAATATCGCTATTCCTGTCTTGCTAATGAAAAGAAAATAGGATTTCACTGAGTCTCCTATCTACTTACTCCAGGACTTCTGTGAGGATCAAATGAGATGAGGCACGAGAAAATGCTTCACAAACATTTGGTTAAACTGTGAAATGTTTGCATCTGGCTACAAAACAAGTCGGGTTCCTGGGCTGAAGAAACTCCAAGGAGGCTAGCCGTCGCTAGGGAGAGGAAGCTGGGCATTGCTATGTGATGTCATTACCCGGTGCCCACAGTGACCATTTCCAGGCTGGGCTGGGTTGTGGGTCGCATTTTGCACCATGGGGTCTTGGAGCGTTAGCTGCGATTTGGTGGCTGTCACTGTAGGGTGGTGGCGGGGCCTGTGTCCCCCTTGGGGGAAGCCGAGTGTTGGTTTGTGGGTGCCAGGTCCGTGGTGCCGTTTATTTTTAAATGGTCAGTGTGCATCATGGCAGCTCCTGCGTTGAGAGTCTGCCCCCTGGTGGTCATTGCGCATCATAGCTACCGGTTGGCGGACAGACACTTAGCCTTTTATTTATATAGATAGCTCTTCTTTTGTCCTGGTCACATTAAAATCGGTACACAAACAACATATTACATTTACGGAGCAGCACAGGAATGAGTTCAGATTACTTTTATGGAAACTGGGGAGATGTGTAGGTACAGCGGGCATTAGAAAAACATCACTGAACAGAGAGCCGCTTTCGACTCAACTTTGCTGCTAACGAGCCAGGGGGTCTTGCCCACGTTCTTTCTAATTGTGCGGGGGAAGGGAGGGAGTCTGGGCAGCTCCCTGCCAGTCCCTGCCCCTGGCACACACCGCCCCCTGGGAGAGCCGGTGCCGTCAGAATTGATGTCTTTGTGGCATCTCCTCCTCAGCCCTTGAGCTCCCTCTTCTTCTTTTCTTTTTCAGCCTTAAAACAACGATGCCTGGAGAACATCTGCAGGTCTGTGTGAGCCTTGAGAGAACAATGGGACCTCACCATGAACCCAGCCATCTCTCCACCCTGGCCCCTGGCCCCTGGCCCCAGTGGGCTGCACTGGCAGGATTCACCCGGCCTCAGCTAGACCAGGGGTGGGGAACCTTTTCCTGCCCAGGGCCACTTGGATATGCACAGCACCATTGGAGGGCCATACAAAATGGTCAGCTTAACAATTAGCCTGCTGTATTGGTCAAGCATGTAATTATCTCCCCCCCAATGCCCCGGCAGGCCCAGACCTAATGATTCTGTGGCTTTACACCAGCGGTTCTCAACCTTGGCTGCACATTAGAATCACCTGGGAACATTTTTAAACTCCTCCGAGATGAGGCCCAGAAATCAGGATTTTAAAAAGATTCCCAGGTGATTCTAACGTGCAGCCAAGGTTGAGAACCACTGCCTTATACAGTCCTGGGCGGGGCGTTCCCACCCTGATAGATCACCAGCTCGTTGGAAGCGGTTCCTTTGGAAGAAGCATTTCTTTCTCTCCCGTGAACCTGCGGGAAATAT